CCATTGGATGGCCACTCACGGTGGCACACGGCAGCTCATGCCCGCTGCCAGCTAGCCCCACTGCAGCCTACGCCGCAGCCAGCGACTCACGGCAGCCCAGCTCCAGGTGGAGCTGTGTTCACCATCTTCGCTGTAGAGGGCGCAGCATCACTGGCCCTCATGTGGGATCTGAACCGGGGCTCTGCTGCTCAGAGCTGGCGTCCGAAGCCAACTCTTAACCAATGTGCCACTCGGCTGGCCCTATAATTTGATTTTTTTAACTTGTGTTTTATAGCCAATACGTTTGTGTAAACCAAAGACACCTCATGTATAAACTAATGTTTCTCAGCATGTGTTCTGAAGGCAGCTTACATGAAAATCATCTGGGGTGCTGGTTAAAATTCATATTTCAGGGCCGCACTGCAGAGCTACTCCATGAGGATCTCTGAGAATGGGCCCTGAGAACATATGTTATGAACAAGCACTCTAGGGGACTTAGATAATCACTAAAGCTTGCATGGACTGGGGTTGTCTCACCTGTTAGGGGGGAAGGCGAAGCAGGGAAGTTGTCTCCAACTCAGGTATGGCTTTTCTTTTCAATTCCTCAAGTGCACCTGAGATGCGGTTGGTAGGATAAAGCCTCCCATGAGCCAATTAATGTAATGACTGAAAAGCTCGGTATACGAAACAGTGAGCCAGGCGCACAGATGTAAGATGCAGGGCTCTTTCTTAGTCCTTCCATACACCCCTACCCTCTGAAACAATCAGGGGTTTGCCTGAGGCCTATCCTGTAACTAGCACTTTTGTCCCTCTCTACTGGTATACGGTGGGAAGGGACAGAGTTGCCGGAAACCCTACTTCCTGACCTGGCACCTTTGGAATTTGTTCATTCTACTTGGTAGAGAGAATGTTTCACCCTGTCACCCATTTGTGGTCTTCTCTTCCCAAAGTTTTAGAAGTGTGCAAGAGGAAGTAGAAATAGTCTCTCAATCTGAGTGCCTTCTTACCATCCTTGATCACTAGCAAGTGATAAATATGGCTTTTTGTTTCTCGGCAGGGCAGAATCTGATATGAATGTCTTTGTTTAAAATAATCTATGATCAATGATTAGCTTTTAGCCTGCTTTTTACAATTCAGCAAAAATATTATGGCCATGACACTATTTCAATACATAGAAATCTACTTTGTCCTTTTTTTTTTTTTTTCCTTTTTAGCTGAGCCATCCTGCCACCTGTTGGCAGCTTAACAGCAGCTCAGCTTGGGCCGGGACTTGAACTGCTGTTGCTCAGAGCTCAAACTCTTGAGCAAGCTCTTAATCAACTGAGCCACTTGGCCGGCCCTCTACTTTATCCTTTTAACACATGCATGAGACCCATTTCATGGATGTATTATAATTTATTTAATCAGTCCCCTATTGTTGAACATTTAGGCTATTTCTGATTTTGCAATTTACAATGCTAAAGTGAATATACTTTTAAACATACCTTTGCATATATATGTGTTTTTCTTTAAAGTTGCTGAGTTAAAGGAAATATGGATCTAAAATTTTTGATACCTGTTCATTTATTCAACATTCATTTACTAAGTGCCTACTATGTGACAGGCTCTGGTGTCTAGTGCTGGGGCCACAACAGTAACAGAACAAAAACCAAACATTCACAAAAACCAAAGGCAACTAAAGAACTAAACATGAAAAGCAAAACTATAAGAGGATTAAATTATAGGAAAGTGTTTTTAAAAACTTAAGATGAAGAACTTTATCTAAGCATACACAAAAATCAGAAGCTAGCTAGGAAAGAATTGATAGATATGGGTAGATAGAACATTAAAGCTTCTAAGTGATGGAAGATACAAGAGATACAGTTAAAGACAAACAACAGACCAGAAGAAAATTTGTAATATTTATAACAGACAATGGAGTAAGGCACATAATGTATAAAGAGCAACTACAAATTAAAAATGAATAGACAAACTTAAAAGAAAAAAATATAGACATGTAATTTTCAAAACAAGAAATGCAGATGACCAGTAGACATACCAAAAGTTTCTCAGTCTCACTAACTGATCAGAGTAATGCAGATTAAAGACAATAGGTTGCCATTTTTCATTCATTAGATTGGCAATAATTAAAAAGGCAAGGGCATATAGAATTGCTTTCCAACTCTGCTGTGGAAGTATAAATTGCTACAGTCTTGGAACAGTTCGGAGATACTTCTCAGCATTTTAATTGTGTATAGTTTTTTTTTTTTATTAAGGAATTGGGGGATGGGAACAGCCCTGAGGAATTGGGGGAAGGGGAACAGACAAGTTGCTGTCGTTTTTGTTCTTCAGTCTAGTTGTGGAGGACATTGCTTCACTGGCCCANTAACCATCACGCCACTCAGCCGGCCCCATTTTTTGTAGTTTTAATACTGCCTGTGTTTTAGTGCCAAGTATAGGAAAATAGGCCCATTGGTACTCATGCATTGATGGTGGGGTGTACAGTCAGCAATTCTGAAGGAAAATCAGATTTACCGTGGCAATGAATGTTTCTTAAAGACGTTTACAATTAAGTTACAGCATTTGAGAAGCTATGAGGTCTTGCCTACTCAACACCTTCCTGGTATACAGCAGAGGTGTGATATGATAATCCCTTCTTGTTACCATCATGGCTCATGTGCCAGGGTCTGCTGGAGCCCGCTGGTGTCTGCTCCTGAGAGCCAACTGTGTGCGTTGCTTCCTAACTCCATGTTCAGTGACCTACGTTTTGGTAGCTTGAATTTTGACGTGTTGGGATATGTCCAATACCATGGAAATTGGCCTAAGCTGCATGTAAGGCTCCCTCTGGAGCTGGTTGTTCAGCATTTACCAGCAGCACATCCCTGTTTGTTCTCCACCCCAATCCTAATCTTTTTTCTAATTGCTTTTTTCTTTGCCTGCTGGTAGAGCACAGTGAAGGCAGAAAGGTTAGCGAGTCCGACATCTGGATTGGAATACAGATTTTGCTATGTAATAGCTCTGTGTCCTTGAACGAGGTATTCACGTTCTCTAATGCCCAGTTTTCTCCTTAGTAAAATGAGGTTGATAAAGGACCCACTTCAGTGTTCTGAGTATGACATGAAATGATGTATGGTAAGTACCTAATACTACCTGGTACATAGTAAATGTTCAATAAGTTGGTATCTATTAGGTCAGTTTTGTTTTTTTTTTGCAAGTACTGATATTCATAAAAAAAACCACACATATGGATGGCTATTGGCAAAGCACTTTTGATTCTGACTGTATTGTGTTTCATGTACTGATGAACAAGAATAAAATACCATCCCCAAATTCTGAGCTTTCAGATTGCATGTTTGATGTTAAATGGACTGTGCATCTGGGCCCTTGGCATATGTCTTGGTTTGCTGTGAACAGACAGATAGTTCCCGAGTCTGGTCTTCTCATCTATTAGATCACCTTAGTTCCACCCCCAACCCCCAACTACCTATCCTCCTAAATATCCTCATTCTTCCATTTCCTTCTCTTTCTCCGTGAACAAGCAAATAATCTTTCTGGCATGTGGCAGATTATCCTAGACCTGTGGTAACAAGCCATCTTCCATGGGTCACCAGGTTGCTGCTTTTTTATATCCTGGGGGCAAGACTAGAAGGCTTGATTTTCCTGTGAGAATGAATTTCCTGGCAAAAGTGTTGCCGAAGGGTATGCGCATGCTCTACCTTCTCATTCCTGGTTCCAGGCCCCTCCTTGTCGCCCACTCAGCTCTGTGTTGCCCTCAGAAGGGCACTGGCCCACCTCAGGCAGCCTTCTCCACCCCAACATTCCTTCAGTGAGAAAAATGGTTACTTTGTAGCAAACATGGTAATGTCAAATTCTGAACACTTCACATTCGTACAGGTACAAGTGACGCTGAGATTGAAATACTTGCGATTAGAGGCATTTGTTGTAAGGGGGAATATTAACCTCTTTATATTCTTCAGGTATTAAGTGTTCACAAAACTGAAAGGTCCCTGCTTTCCGCAAACACAGGCTGCTTGTGGGATTCTTCAAACACTTTGAAGTATGCCTTTTTCAACGCGATTGGTTTTTCAATACTTAAATTACTGAGCTGTGTTTTAAAACGCGGGAACACTCAAGATGGGTACAAGTTGTTTCATGTTGGGAGCTCTTTTGCCATCAGTTTTAAACTGTTGCTTTATGTGAACAGCTTGAAAATGTAAAAATTCAAGCCTTGGCAAAACAGAGCCTTCAAACTCTACTTTTCAGCTCATTCAATTAATGAATTGATAGACTGCACCTAAAAAATATTTTATAGAAACATTTTTTTGTTAAAATAATTTATCACAATTAATATATCCTCAATATTGTTACCATAAAGTAATGATAGGCATCAATAATATTGCTCAGGTTTTCTTCATTATATTTTCAGCAGTGTAAATTTGTGCATAAATCAAATTGTTAAAAAAATTTAAATGTGTGTATGTGTATTTAACATCCCAATAGCAGATTTTTCAAATGTGATTTTAGGCCCATTTTTTGCCCCTGAAATAGTCACACTCAAGTCTTCACAAAGAATGGACACAGATCAATCAAGTTTATTGAGCGTGATCATTTCAGAAACCACCACCACCATTCACTTTAAGCATTTCCTAGCCTTTTATATACTTTAGTTTATTTTTTTTACCTGAGCCATTCTGCTACCTATTGGCAGCTTAGCAGCAGCTCAGCTCAGGCCAGGCATCGAACCGCTGTTGCTCAGAGCTCAAACTCTTGAGTGAGCTCTTAACCAACTGAGCCACTCGGCCGGCCCTTCCTAGCCTTTTAAATGAAAAAAAAAAGTGATCTTTTATGGTAGAAAAATGAATTTTAGATTTTTCAGAGCCAAAATGAGAACACTTTAAGACAAAATCAGGCCAAATCTTTGGAATTAAAAGTGACTAAACACCCAGAAGAAACACAATATAAAAACCTGCCAATTACATTCCTGCCCAGAGGTCTGAATTGAATTCCTTTTTCATAATTTGGATATGTCTTCTCTTTCTCAGTGATACAGGAACAACACCCCCGGAGAGTGGTATTTTTGGATTTATGATAAACTTCTCTGCATTTCTTGGTAAGTACATATGATTATTATAAATAAATTTTAAAAAATTCATAATCTCCAGTGAAGTGAAATGTGTCATTTACAGTTTGTGTATAATTTTTCTTTTTGTTAAATATTTTTTTATTGGGTAATTGGGGGATGGGAACAGCCCTGGGAAATTGGGGGAAGGGGAACAGACAAGTTGCTGTC